AAAACGCACTTTGCCGCATTCAGCTTCAGCCCATACTCCCTGAGGGTGGAGAAGGTATCCGCCAAATCTGTCAGATGATCACAACTCCGTTTGCTCTTTACCAGCATATCATCTATGTAGACCTCCATGGTGTTGCCGATCTGCTTTTTGAACATCCGATTCATCAGTCTTTGGTATGTTGCCCCGGCGTTCTTTAGTCCAAACGGCATCACTTTGTAACAGTAAACTCCCTTCGGAGTGATAAACGCCGTCTTTTCCTGATCCGGGGGATAGAGAGGGATCTGATGATATCCTGCTCGGGCATCCAGGAAGTCCATTCGTTCATATCCGGCAGTGGCATCTACCAGCTGGTCCACCTTTGGCAGGGGGTAGTCGTCCTTGGGACATGCCTTGTTTAGATCTGTAAAGTCTACGCAGACACGCCATTTCCCCCCTTTCTTCTTTGCGCACACCGTATTAGACAGCCATTCTGGGAACTGTATCTCTCGAATGGCGTCGGCCTTCAGGAGTTTGTCGATTTCCTCGTTGACCGCGCTGGCGTGATGCGGGGCCATGCGTCGTGGCCTCTGTTTGACTGGCTTGTGCGACGGGTCAACATGCAACCTGTGTGTGATTATCTCGGGATCTACACTCGTCATTTTCATCTCGTTCCACGCGAACACGTCTGTATTCCCCCTTAGGAACTGAATCATCTCCTCCTGTTCGACTGTGGGCATCGAGGTCCCAACTAAGAAATACCTCTCTTCTTCTCCCTCCACCAAGGACACCTTCCGGAGGTCTTCTACTGACCGCTCAGTTGGGTCTATCCAGGGGTCATCCATTCCTGGACGCCCGGACTGTGATTGCTATTTTTCCATAATCTCTTCCGGTGCTCGCCCCTTCTCCTGGCTGAACGCCCCGGCTCGAACGGCTGAATAAAAACAATTTTTCGCGGACGCTTGGTCCCCCCGGATCTCCATGATACCTTCTGGCGTGGCGAATTTTAATTTCTGGTGGAAAGTGGAGTGCACCGCTCCCAACGCATGCAGCCATGTTCGCCCCATAATCACGTTGTAGGGAGAGTCCGTATCGATCACGACAAACTCGGTGTCGATGACAAAGGGACCTGTGACAACTGGCAATGTGATTTTCCCCACGGGCAGGGCGAACGAGCCGTTGAATCCGATGAGGGGTGTCCTGACTTTGGTGAGGTCTTTGAGGCCAAGACCCATCCGTTTTAAAGTTTCGGAGTACATCACTTCCGAGGAACTTCCAGAGTCTATCAAAACCCTTTTGACGTCGAATTTTCCTATCCTTAGGGTCAAGACAAGGGCGTCGTTATGAGGAATCACCACGCCTGTCAAATCCGCGTCAGAGAACGTAATGCCAAGTTCACCCATCCTGGCCCTTTTACTTGATGGCCCCACACCTCCCTCGGCTACCTTTCTGGTAAAAGCTACCCTCTTGAGGTCGGATTCGAGCTCTTTGGACGTGGGGCGCTCCAGCGGACATACATGGATGACGTCTATGACGTTGTCCGGTTCCTCGGTCGGGGCAAGGGCTCGTTTCTCTTCTGGCCTAGGCTCTATGTATTCTTTCAGGTATCCATCTCGGACTAAGCTCTCCAAGAATGACTTGAACACCCTGCAGCTCTCGGTGCGATGCCCGACATCCCGGTGATATGAACACCTAACTTTTTGATCACGGGTGGAGGGGTCGCTCTGCATCCTGGGCGGCCATTTGAAGAACGGCTCGTGCTTGATTTTATGGAGCAACTTGAAGATGGGTTCCTTGAACACAGTGTGAACTCCTTTGGACGAACCCCCTGGAGGGGGTAGCAATCCCTTTCGGGGAATATCTTCCCGCTCCTTCTCTTTTCTCTTAGATTGGAGGGCTCGGCCTTTGCTGCTTCCCATCTCGTCCTCAACCCTCGAGTATTTGTTTATCCGGGCCATTAGTTCCCCCATATCCGAGGGAGTCTTCTTGGTCAGGGATCGGTACAGGTCCGTGTCCCTTGCCAAGCCGAGCCGGAAAGATGCTGCTGCCATGACCTCCGAGCAGCCTTCTACCTCATTAACCTCTTCCCAGTATCGGATGGCGTACTGGCGAAGAGTCTCGGATTCCCTCCTTCTGAGGGTCAGCAATGATCCAATGTCTTTGGGGCGCTTACTCCCCGTAATGAATCGAGCCAGGAACTGCTTCGTCAATTCCTTCCATGACCCAATACTGTTGGGGGGAAGCGCCTCGAACCACTTCATCGCAGAGTCCCCCAAGCTCATAGGAAACACTCGGCAGAGAAACCGTTGGTCCGAATGATAGAGGGACATCATCTGCTTGTATTGCCTGACATGGGCTTCGGGATCGGACCGCCCGTCATAAGTTTTGAACCGCGGCACGACAAACTTTCTTGAAACCTCCATCTCACCGATCTCCCTCGTAAAGGGTGTTTGTATGACTTCGTCCTCGGCCTCATCCTGGACAGCCTTACCCTTTCTCCTGGAGTCTAACCGGGCTCTGAGATCAATTTCTTCCCTGACGGGATGCCTTCTGAAGTCCTTGAGTTCATCGGTAAGCCCCTCATTTCCTGGGCGTCGTGTGGATTGGGTTGAGTCCTCCTCGGATTCATCTCCCTTCCTCCGTCTAGACAAACCTCGCCGGAGGTCGTCCAGGGCCAATGGCCTTGCTTTCCTTGAATGGTTGTCATGATGATGCTCGCCGGCTCTGGGTCGCTTTGGGGCCCTAGAGCTTTCTGCTTTGTTGTTTAGGTGGTTTCTTAGATCCTTCGTTTCCGCCTCCCGGGCGGGAAGCCCACGAGAAAGGAATGAATCCCTCGATCCTTCGCCAGAGGCGGCAAACTCGTTGAGCCGGCTTAGGACGTTTACATTGTCCTTTTCCAGCTGTCGTAATCTATCGCCAAACTTTTCTTCAATCACCTCCGCCAGCTGACGAGCCAAGGGGGCTGATCCCCCTGACCTGATTCCCATACTGGTTTGAGGGGTAACCCCTCTTGACCGAGTAGAGGCACTTTTATTCATATCGGTGTGATCCCTTCCTCCGTGATGACAGGGAGCTTGTAACTCGAGACTCCTTTGGTGGGGGCCTTTCCCTTTCTGTCGAGTGTTCACCATGGTCACTGTTCTTTATAGAGAAAAAACTAGGAAAACTAGTCGTTTCCCACAGACGGCGCCAGATTGTGCGTGCAAGATCCTGCACAATATAAAAAACGAGAACAGATCTCTCCCTTGGTGAACTCGAGTGAGCCAGTTGAGTGACCAACCACGCTGCTTGGAACAGCCTGCGAGGTCCGGTGGTAACCTGGAACGGCAACGGGAGACCCTGGGGGAGCGGAAGAACGATCCAGTAAGGCTGAAAGAGGTTCCTGGAACAAAGAAGAACAAGTTAGAAGGGCGCCGGAGTGTTTTCCGGCGTATCCCCTCCGACGATCTAGTCAGTCTTTGAGAGAGAGAGAGGAAGGAGAAAACACTGAGTGTGTATTGTAGTAAAGAGTTTTTTGTTGCATACCCGTCTTGCCTTTTGCAAGGAGTATTTATACCTCAAAAGCTCATGATTGCTGTCAGTGTAGTCAGTAGGTGATCATTAGGTACAGGCAGTGTGCGCACTGATTCTGATGAGGAATGTCTTCTCTTCTTAACTGCTCGGGGTCCCGAGCAATCAATGCTGCGTCATCGGGATGCCGACGGTACAATGTACTCCTCTCGGGGAGGATGCAATAAATGCTCTGTATTAGGAACATTTATTGCCTTTCATTTCCGAGCCTTACCGCATTGAATGCAGTCTCGTCAAGGGAATGGTGTAATTAATCGTTTGTTTTCCCAAGTCGCATGTCAGCAACGGCATGCGGTTTTTCTGTCTTTGATGTGATATCATATGCCACGCGTCCATCCCCTATTGGCTGTGGCCCCTGTATTCCTGTACGTTCTGACACTAATTGTGTAAGACGAGGTCATGATGAATAGCCTAGACTAGCCTAGGCTAATGACCTGTACGTCAATAACTTATCCTGGAGTAGAGGAGGCGTCCAAGACGGGGTACCTCTCGGCACCGAGGAAAGGCTTATCTTGGAACCGAGGGAGGTATACCGACCGAGGTACCATATCAAGCCGAGGCTACGTGTCGGTTGTAAAACGTACTGAATGCCATGATCCTATATGACGAGTATCTCGGGGGCGAGGACCTTTGTGCGCCGATGGTGCTTGATCTTAGTAACAGTGTTTTGGTAATACCGAAGACACGTGTCTTCATCATGGAGTATTTCAGAAAAGTCTCACCATCAAGTATAGATTTAGCTTGGACGAATCATATAGACGTGTGTTCAACTCTTGTTGGTGATTTTCAAATTTAATTCATACATGTGATTCAGAGCATCCGCAACCTACTCTCTATTTTCTCTCTTCTAGTTATTTTAGTTAGTCAGATACAAAAAATACTCTCCCACGGTCTCACCCCCTCTCTATTTTCTCATTTCATCTAAATAACTCTCCAAATGTGAAGAGTCATTTAACGTCTCTAAATTCTCTCTCAATCTCTCTCTCTATATATATATGTTATATTCTTTTTTAAATTATTAGAGGTTAATAAAAATTGAATGAAATAATTAATTAAAATAGAGATTATGGTTGAAGTGAATTTATAAAAATGAATAATTGAAATAGAAAATATAATATTCAAATATATTTTAAATAACTATTTTTTAGAGCCGGGATGGGGATGCTCTTAGCAGTGACATCTCTCAAGAGTGGTTTCAATGTGACCCTATTTATGTGGGATTCCGAGTCATACAAACATATTCAAAATGTCGATTCCACAAGAAAATTCTGTTCAAAGACCTCTGAAATCACACTAAACATGATGAATTATTCACAATTCAAACAGAGAAATAACAAAGGGCAATCCAACCAAATCAAACATTAAGCGAGTAAGACTTCATTTGGCCGCTGATCGAACAACTTCTGATTCCAACAATATCTATATGAGCGACAATAATTACTCATAAATCGAGTTCAGGCAGCCGTCGAATTACTGACCGACGAAGTCCAGACAATGTCCTTAAGCGCCGGCCGGAGCTCCTTGCTGCAGAACTTGTTGTACTCCAGAGTATCACCACTTGACTTCTTCACCTCCACCACCAGAAAAGATGGTGTCACCGAGAAAATATCGGCGGCGATCCCCAACTTCCCTTTTCTTCCACTTTCTTGACCCTGCAATCTCACGCCGGAGTCACTTTTCTTGAAACTGAAATTCACCGTCTTCGCCACCTCCTCCAATCTTGATATCACACTGGTCGCCGGCGATGTCGTCGCAAACCGGATCTCCTCTTTCTCTACCTGTCTTTTTTCTTCAAACAGCGGGGACAAATCAAATCCTTCTGACAAAGAAATTATGTGAAAAGCATTGAGAGTCTCTGTTTCTTTCCCCAACTTTCCACCATAATTTTCGTTCTCAACCGTGAATTCTTGTTCTTCTTTAGAACTCACGTTTTTTGAAAAAGATTTTTTGAACCACGAACAATCCATGATGTTGGAGATTGTAATCCGAGTGTGTGGATTCGGGTCCAACAATTTGGTGATCAGTCTTCGAGCTTCTGAAGAAAACCATGACGGACACTGGAAATCTCCTCTGCAAATCTTTCTATACAGAGCAACAATATTATCTTCCTGGAAGGGTAAAAAACCAGCCAAAAGAACATAAAGAATCACACCACAAGACCATATATCAGCTTTGGCTCCGTCATACCCGTTTTTCCCGATCACCTCCGGCGCAACATACGCCGGAGTTCCACACGTGGTGTGCAGCAACCCATCCTGCCGGAGATGATTGCAGAAAGCGCTGAGCCCAAAATCAGTCACTTTCAGATTACCATCGTCGTCTAACAAAAGATTTTCCGGCTTCAAATCCCGGTGGTATACACTGCGACTGTGGCAAAAATCAACGGCGGAAATCAACTGTTGAAAGTAATTCCGGGCTAAATCTTCACTTAACCGGCCTTTGGCTACTCTGTTGAAGAGCTCGCCGCCGCGAACGAGTTCCATGGAGAAATAGATCTTGGTTTTACTTGCCATGACTTCGTGAAGCTCGACGATGTTTGGGTGATTAACCATCTTCATGACTGAGATTTCGCGCTTGATTTGCTCCATCATTCCTACTTTCATGACCTTTTCTTTGCCGACAACTTTCATGGCGACGCTCTTGCCTGTTTTCAAGTTCCGTGCATGGTAGACTTTCGCAAAGGTGCCGTGACCCAACAATCGACCCAGTTCGTACTTCCCATGGAGCACACCGTTCCTATCTTCTGCCGCCATTGGAGTGTATAAAGAAACAAATTGAGTGAATGAAAAGGATTTTGTAACGGCGGTGGTAGTGGTGGGAGGTAATAGCTTCTACGGTGGTGGGTGGGTTGGTGTTCAACCGTCTTCGACGTGTTTCCGGTGGCAAGTTCTGCCAGCGATGGATTTTTTGGATCTTCCACCCAACTGGGGGTCAGAAAGCGAAGCTCGCCTCATCTCTCTGCATTCCCTAAAAGGTCTCTGGGTGTACGAGAGAGAACGAATGGCTCTTGGGGTTTCGATCTTTTTGGTTCAGTATCTGAGCTCATCACTTTATAGCCAGATTCAGGCTGTGAAATGACCATTTGGGCCTTGTAAATCTGAGCATCCATCCGACGGTTCTTGTGGTCCTAGTTGATTAACGCGTTTCAAGATCAGGATCGGAGGTAAATTGAATCTTTTTGGATGCTATCTATCATTAAATTAAATCTCCTCTAATATATATTTTTTTATAAATCATAAATTATTTATTTAAGTGAATATTATTGTTTATCAAAAAAATTTAAAAAAATACTATATTAGAAGGGATACTCATATCATATTTTAATTATTTTATATTTAAATTATTTTATTTTAAATTTATATCATGTTTAAATCACCACAGAAAACAAGCGAAACAAAAAATTTAATACTATTACTCTCCTCTCTAAACCGAAATTCCCACATATAGTGCTGCCTCTATATAAGAAAAAAAATCTACCACACAGATTTTCAAAAAATAAAGATTTACTTCACTCACATCATAAAAAATAAATAAAATCACCCCACCTTTATATTATTATGGATAATTTGTGTGCCAACTTATGATATAACGTAAATAAGAAATGATGAATTTGGGGAGAAAATTTAATGTGAATGACGTTGAAGAAGATATTAGTAGTTGTCGAATGAGTTTATTTGAGACTGTCGAATGAACTTATTGAAATCTGTCTTGATTTATATTATAAATATACAATGTTAAATTCAAAAACAACAATTTAAAAACTTTACATGTTCATAGAAATCTAATTAAAAATGTTTGTCTTGTTTTTTTCTAGTGGTGTCTAAATTTGAGATAATTACGCCCTCAAACTCTAAGATTAATCATCGTAATTCGTGCTCGTTGAAGGACATATTCCCTAAGGAAAAAAAGTTACTGATCTTTAAAATGTGTGAAAATTATTGAATTTAATACCTCTTACTTATAAAATAATAGATTTGACCATTGAATCACCCTTAAAGATTAACATGCTTATCTTTTTAAAATCAAGATTTTATTATATATATATATATATATATATATATATATCTCGTTATTTGGAGTCATGTGACAAGTATAGAAAATTATATTAAAAAAATCTTACAATGACAAAAATTAAATAAGTTTTTATGTTGTTACCAAAATATCAAGAGATTTTTATTAAAGTTTAGTTTAGGGTGTGAGTGTGTTTATATGTCTACTTTCGCCGTCACACTCATAATGTGAGTGGTCGAAGTTTGATCCAAAAAAAAACAGAGATTTTTGTTGATTGATGCTTAGGGTTACGTGTTGTAGTTTTCAAGGTTTGATGGAATATTATATCATTTCTGAAAAATAGGAGATATTTTGCATAATTAGCGGTGAAGGCTGGACGCCGAAATTTTTTAAAAGTCTTTTTTTTAATGTAATTATCTGAAGCTCAGTGAATATCAGAGACTACCATTGATTTAGATTGTGTAATTACCATTTTACCCTGCTGCTGCGACTAGTATATTGGACAATAATTGTGTGGACCCAGCAAGAATTTTAGTAAACTTTTGGTGTTGTGATGGCCATGATAGTGCAATTGCGTGTCTGGGAACCTGAGATAAGGATAGAAATAATATCCACCTTCCCAGCAAAGAAAATTGCATGCACCGACTCATGTAAAAGAAATTANTACCCTGCTGCTGCGACAAGTATATTGGACAAAAATTGTGTGGACCCAGCAAGAATTTTAGTAAACTTTTGGTGTTGTGATGGCCATGATAGTGCAATTGCGTGTCTGGGAACCTGAGATAAGGATGGAAATAATATCCACCTTCCCAGCAAAGAAAATTGCATGCACCGACTCATGTAAAAGAAATTATTAATTAATTAATAATATTTATTGGTTAATTTAGACACTTAGTATATTATAATTCTTGATGATGATGAATTTAAGTCTGGATCTCTTCCGAAGCCTAAAACTCTTTGGGCTCACATAAAACGACTCAAACGTCTCATCCAAGTAATATTCATTGGGCTTGAGCTAGNTAATTTAGACACTTAGTATATTATAATTCTTGATGATGATGAATTTAAGTCTGGATCTCTTCCGGAGCCTCAAACTCTTTGGGCTCACATAAAACGACTCAAACGTCTCATCCAAGTAATATTCATTGGGCTTGAGCTGGACCGCAATCCAATTTCAAAAAAGCTTGAAACAAACTAGCTCGGAATAGGTGGCAGCTCAACATCGTCAAACCCAATATAGGTACCAGATCAAAAAATGGGAGCACAGTACCAAGATAGTTAAAAAGAGCTGCTACACGAAACATGAACAGGAGATAAGGGGACAATACCTGACAATCTTAATAGAGAAAAATCCATCAGTAGTGGAGATAGCTCACGTATTCCAGTTAATGCATAATGGGTGCAGAAAAGCATCAGAGATTACAGCTCTAATAATAAGACAAACATAGAGAGGATCACAAAATCAGCCCAAAAGGAATCACCACGAAACCCTAACAATTGGACGTATAAACAACTAACGATACCACATTGAGACATATAGAGAAATACCATTCAGCAATAACCTAAGCAATATTATGTAAAAGGCTTTTAGTAAAATANTCAACATCGTCAAACCCAATATAGGTACCAGATCAAAAAATGGGAGCACAGTACCAGGATAGTTAAAAAGAGCTGCTACACGAAACATGAACATGAGATAAGGGGACAATACCTGACAATCTTAATAGAGAAAAATCTATCAGTAGTGGAGATAGCTCACGTATTCCAGTTAATGCCTAATGGGTGCAGAAAAGCATCAGAGATTACAGCTCTAATAATAAGACAAACACAGAGAGGACCACAAAATCAGCCCAAAAGGAATCACCACGAAACCCTAACAATCGGACGTATAAACAACTAATGATACCACATTGAGACATATAGAGAAATACCACTCAGCAATAACCTAAGCAATATTATGTAAAAGGCTTTTAGTAAAACACCTTGTAACAATAATCTTCTTTCTCAAGTAATACAATTCTCAAGAAACAAGAGTTTACCTTACAATGGACGTAACTTTAATCATTCGACTAAGGTGAACTACTTATATTGTTGTATTATTTTTGCATTTAACACTTAATACACTTTCTATCACATTCACACATTCTCTGGGCCACATCCCAGAATGTTCTGTAGTTAGGTCTAGTCGATTTCGAGCACCATCAAATACTAATATAATAATGACCGTCACTGAACGTTCGANTTCTCAAGAAACAAGAGTTTACCTTACAATGGACGTAACTTTAATCATTCGACTAAAATGAACTACTTATATTGTTGTTTTATTCTTGCATTTAACACTTAATACACTTTCTATCACATTCACACACTCTCTGGGCCACATCCCAGACTGTTCTGTAGTTAGGTCTAGTCGATTTCGAGCACCATCAAATACTAATATAATAATGACCGTCACTGAACGTTCAACTCACCATTACGTATTAGATCTCCAAACTATGCGTATATGACACTCTCCAAATCTTATAATGACAAAAATCTCATATATTAGATTTTATTTTTTAGTTTAATTTGATGAACCTAAGCATTAAAGGTGTGTTTGGGTAATGGGATAAAGGGGTTAACACCATAAGGATAGATGGGTAAGGTAGTGAATCTCATTTATCCTTTGTTTGGAAAGCATTTTTTGAGACTAGATAACAATCTCGGGTCAAACCTTGACTCAGTTGCTACAGTGGTTTATAACCCCCCCTTGCGTCGGTTACAATTAACCCCCCATGGGTTACAAACCCAGGCAGCAGAAGAACCATCCATCTGACCCATTTGCCCTTCTCATTCTCTATCACTCAACCACTCACACACAACAACACACACCAGTTGAGCTTGTCTAAAGGGTTGGGACGAAGGTGTTGCATAGAGGCGATGAAGAAGGTGTGCACAAAGGCAATAAAGAAGAAAAGGTTTGGAGAAATCCTAGTGGGTTTAATAGGTCAAGAACGGCGTTGAATGGCTTAGTTGTCACTGACGATGAAAAGAGTCTAGTCATCGGCCTGTGATATTCTTCGTAATCGAAGAGTATCGCCATAGATACAAAGGTAGAAAGCAATTTTGACAGATGATGGTGAGAGGTAGTGGTGGTGGTGGTGGGTGTTTCTATTTGTGGTGGTGGTGGTGGCGTTTCTGCTGCGTTGAGGGTTTATTTGGCCAAGTATAAGTAGTTGGAGGGGGAGAAGAGCTCACTGGGTGGTCGTAGGCAGGGGGAGAAATATGGGAGTGGAGGTTGTGGTGGTGGGAAAGATGGGGCAGTGAGTTTCTGGTGGCAATGGTGCTAAGTTCAGGGGCAGATGTATGGTTTTGGGTTTGATATATCTTATAAAAAAGGGATTTAGCAAAGGAGAATTACACCCAGACCTAGGGGTGTTCAAATTTCTGATTAGCCGCAATTTCCAACCCTACCCTATTGAACTACTAGCCTAAAAAATTGGGTAAAAATGCGGAAGAATTTTTGGTCATCCGATTAAATTGGGTAGGAATGCGGAATACCCATCAATTTTTGCATTCCTACCCTACCCTACCTGCAAAAAATATATTTAATTTTTTTATTTTTTTTTTAGTAATTAAAAAAGTATTTGTGTGGTATAATTTACATTATAACATTGTTATTGTTGTGAATGTTTGAGTTGCAAAAATATGGACTTTTTTTTTGTATAGGTTACATGATTTGTGGTAAGCTGGTGATTTATTATAGCAGTTATTATTTTAATGTGTTTCATATGGTTTAAATTTAAAATAATTATTATTGTATTTGTGTAACAATTATGATGGATTAATGTTCATGCTTTCTTATATTTTTTTTGTAATTGTTCTTGTAGTTGTTTTAGGTTTTAATGTTATTGATTTATGAACAAGGCTATTGGGACCTAAAAATCTGACTTAATTTACTATGACCTTTGAATTGGTTGTAGGTCCCCATCAAACATTGGAACTTGGTGTTAATCCAATGATTCCTATTAAGCCGCATCATTATGTCAGCAAATTATGTTAGATTTTTAGGTCCAAATAACATTACTCTTAATTTATTGTGTTGTTAAATTAATGCATATTATTTAATTGAATTGTTAAAATGATACAAAAATTAATAGTTACAAAAATGTTTATCCGACGTTTTACCCGACTTTCCTACCCGATTAATCGGGTAGGAAGTCGAATAGGAATACCACACCTGATGTGGTAGGGTAGGTCAAAAAAAAATTCTTTCACAAAGTATCAAGTAGAAAGACGAAAAACTATGGTTATGTCTTTATCTTTGTTTTTGTGTTTTTGTTTTCAATTTTTGTCAAAAATGAAAACAAAAAATATGTTTGATAATTGTTTTTAGTTTTGTTTTGTTTTCGTTATATTGAAGACAAAGACAAAAAAATGGAAACAAAAAATTTTTGTTCTAAGAAACACGCGAAACAGAAATAGACGCTAAAAGGGATTAATGAGATCTGGGTTTCGAACTCCCTTAGCAGCAAAATACTTTTTTTTTCATGAACCTATTTAAACCCACCCATCTCTCTCTCCTGTCCATCGCTGCCTCACTCTCTCCATTTTCTCACCTTCACTGACGATATCTCCTCGCCTTTCTCTCACTGACGACAGGTAAGCCCCTTCTCTTTCTCTCTGTGTCTCCCTCTCTCATCTAAGCTCCTCACTCTATATATATATACAGCTTCGTGTATATATATGTATATATACACAGATTCGTGTATATATACACAGATCTGTGTATATATGTATATATACACAAATCTGTGCACATATATGCATATATGCACAGATCTATGTGTGTTGTGTGTGATTGGTGTGTGTGTGTGTTCTGTGTGCTGGGTGTGTGTGTGTGTTGTGTTCTATGGGTGTTGTGTTTGTGATTTAATTGAGATTGAGATTAGGAAAGTAGCTCATTGCTTTCGATTTGTTGAAGTATTAGATTACTGATTGTATATTTATCTTTTGAGCTATTTATTATTAAAATATTTTATGATTTCAATGTTATATGAATTGTTTAACACGGATTAAATTTATACAAAAAATTGACAATCAACCCTTTTCTTATTAATTGTATGTCAAACTATTGCAGGCAAAGATATAATAATCTTCGAACAATTTTGGGAATTGCACAAGTGAAGGCTTCCTGAATATTATTTCATGATTTCTTTTTTTTTTTTTGTATTTTGGTGATTTAAAAAGCTTCATCAATTGATTTGGTCATAGATGTTTTTTTGTATGTATTGTGATGTTTCATATGTTCATATCATAGAAATTGTTTGAATCATTAGAATATCCCAAGAGAGAAACAGTTGGTTGTCAGTGCTCTAATGATTACTGATCAATGCCCAGGAATGTTATTATTGAACACTCCATTATCCCTTGATTGCGCATACCAACAGAAGTTGGGCAAGAATCAACTAACTGAACTTGTCACCATCAACTGTGCATTTGTTGAAGTAGCTTCATTAGGTATGTTTCAGTTTCTAGTCAAAGTGACCGGTTGCTACTGTCCAAGTACAACCGTGAAATTGATGTTCTAAAACTGCTTATTCCTCTCCCCAAGAAGGGCAAAGTTTTGGGTCAATTTCCTCTTCCACATATTACATTAGGATGCTATGTTGATCTTCAATTAAACATTTGCTACTGAGGTTGTGCTTTATGTTGCAAACAAAAAGACAGAAGTGTTCATTTTGTGTGGAATGCTGAGGGGAGAGTGTATTAAGTGGAGGGGCTATTTCTGCTATGTTGAGGCTCAACCTAAGCACTTGTTGTAGCCTATCCACTCATAATATATTCTTGAGGTAGTTTTTGCCCATCTAAGTATTGTCTTGGATGCCTGCAAGNGTATTTGTGTAACAATTATGATGGATTAATGTTCATGCTTTCTTATATTTTTTTTATAATTGTTCTTGTAGTTGTTTTAGGTTTTAATGTTATTGATTTATGAACAATGCTATTGGGACCTAAAAATCTGACTTAATTTACTATGACCTTTGAATTGGTTGTAGGCCNTAATGTTATTGATTTATGAACAATGCTATTGGGACCTAAAAATCTGACTTAATTTACTATGACCTTTGAATTGGTTGTAGGCCCCCATCAAACATTGGAACTTGGTGTTAATCCAATGATTCCTATTAAGCCGCATCATTATGTCAGCAAATTATGTTAGATTTTTAGGTCCAAATAACATTACTCTTAATTTATTGTGTTGTTAAATTAATGCATATTATTTAATTGAATTGTTAAAATGATACAAAAATTAATAGTTATAAAAATGTTTATCCGACGTTTTACCCGACTTTTCTACCCGATTAATCGGGTAGGAAGTCGGATAGGAATACCACACCTGATGTGGTAGGGTAGGTCAAAAAAAAATTCTTTCACAAAGTATCAGGTAGAAAGACGAAAAACTATGGCTATGTCTTTATCTTTGTTTTTGTGTTTTTGTTTTCAATTTTTGTCAAAAATGAAAACAAAAAATATGTTTGATAACTGTTTTTAGTTTTGTTTTGTTTTCGTTATATTGGAGACAAAGACAAAAAAATGGGAACAAAAAATTTTTGTTCTAAGAAACACGCGAAACAGAAACAGACGCTACAAGGGATTAATGAGATCTGGGTTTCGAACTCCCTTAGCAGCAAAATACTTTTTTTTTCATGAACCTATTTAAACCCACCCATCTCTCTCTCCTGTCCATCGCTGCCTCACTCTCTCCATTTTCTCACCTTCACTGACGATATCTCCTCGCCTTTCTCTCACCGACGACAGGTAAGCCCCTTCTCTTTCTCTCTGTTTCTCCCTCTCTCATCTAAGCTCCTCACTCTATATATATATATATATATATATATAGATACAGCTTCGTGTATATATACACATATTCGTGTGTATATATGTATATATACACAAATCTGTGCACATATATGCATATATGCACAGATCTATGTGTGTTGTGTGTGATTGGTGTGTGTGTGTGTTCTGTGTGCTGGGTGTGTGTGTGTGTTGTGTTCTATGGGTGTTGTGTTTGTGATTTAATTGAGATTGAGATTAGGAAAGTAGCTCATTGCTTTCGATTTGTTGAAGTATTAGATTACTGCTTGTATATTTATCTTTTGAGCTATTTATTATTAAAATATTTTCTGATTTCAATGTTACATGAATTGTTTAACACGGATTAAATTTATACAAAAAATTGGCAATCAACCCTTTTCTTATTAATTTTATGTCAAACCATTGCAGGCAAAGATATAATAATCTTCGAACAATTTTGGGAATTGCACAAGTGAAGGCTTCCTGCATATTATTTCATGATACCTTTTTTTTTTTTTTTTTGTATTTTGGTGATTTAAAAAGCTTCATCAATTGATTTGGTCATAGATGTTTTTTTGTATGTATTGTGATGTTTCATATGTTCATATCATAGAAATTGTTTGAATCATTAGAATATCCCAAGAGAGAAACAGTTGGTTGTCAGTGCTCTAATGATTACTGATCAATGCCCAGGAATGTTATTATTGAACACTCCATTATCCCTTGATTGCGCATACCAACAGAAGTTGGGCAAGAATCAACTAACTGAACTTGTCACCATCAACTGTGCATTTGTTGAAGTAGCTTCATTAGGTATGTTTCAGTTTCTAGTCAAAGTGACCGGTTGCTACTGTCCAAGTACAACCGTGAAATTGATGTTCTAAAACTGCTTATTCCTCTCCCCAAGAAGGGCAAAGTTTTGGGTCAATTTCCTCTTCCACATATTACATTAGGATGCTATGTTGATCTTCAATTAAACATTTGCTACTGAGGTTGTGCTTTATGTTGCAAACAAAAAGACAGAAGTGTTCATTTTGTGTGGAATGCTGAGGGGAGAGTGTATTAAGTGGAGGGGCTATTTCTACTATGTTGAGGCTCAACCTAAGCACTTGTTGTAGCCTATCCACTCATAATATATTCTTGAGGTAGTTTTTGCCCATCTAAGTATTGTCTTGGATGCCTGCAAGCAGCCCTAAGTTAAGGCATGCCCACATCCTTGGGTGGTGTTCTTTTTGCAGCTTAGGTTGTCCAATTTCAACTAGGGTGTGACACAATTTTAGGTGTCTCCAATTTTTTTAGAGTAATAGATTAAATTTGTATATCTAAGCAATGTACTAGCTTTATCTAAATTGCAGAAAGGTAACATTGTATTAATGAAATAAAATCTTGTGTAATTTATTCAAAGCTTCAATATATTCGAAAAATTAATGAAATTCCATTTATACCTCAGTAGCTACGACCTCAATTCTCATGTAAGGGGTGGGTTTTGGTGTAGAATTAACTGCATGGGGTGGTTTTTGGTGAGGAAAGAATTGCAAGGGATGGAAGATATGTTTCTAAAGGCTGGATAGTTGGTCTGTGGAAGATAGATGTTTGGTTTAAACCCTTTTGAAGGATTAAAGCCAACTATCGCATCTAGAAGAGGATTGTTAACAGGAACTGCTCTGTTGCTGCTTGGAATCTATCAGACTGTGATGCTGTCTGGGTGGTGTTACAGTGCTGCTACTGCTGCTTGAGCTGATTTTTGGACAACTTGATGAAGGAGGATTGGNGCTACGACCTCAATTCTCATGTAAGGGGTGGGTTTTGGTGTAGAATTAACTGCATGAGGTGGTTTTTGGTGAGGAAAGAATTGCAAGGGATGGAAGATATGTTTCTAAAGGCTGGATAGTTGGTCTGTGGAAGATAGATATTTGGTTTAAACCCTTTTGAAGGATTAAAGCCAACTATCGCATCTAGAAGAGGATTGTTAACATGAACTGCTCTGTTGCTGCTTGGAATCTATCAGACTGTGATGCTGTCTGGGTGGTGTTACAGTGCTGCTGCTGCTGCTTGAGCTGATTTTTGGACAACTTGATGAAGGAGGATTGGAGGAGGCCATAACAACAGTATTATCTATTCTTTGTAATTAGATTGTCGGTTGTAGTATAACAGAATTCTGTTAGGAAACAGAAAATTTGTTTTCTTAACATTTTTCTATTTTTTCTGTTAAACAGATTTTTTGTTTTAGTTTGATTCTGTTAAACAGATTTTCTGGTTGTCTGTGATCAAAGGCAGGGAATTGGATGATGCAAATGTTGGATCGGCCCAAGTTACTCATTGCAAAAGGAGATGAAGGGTTTTTAGAGTAAATGGTGTTCTGTCACTTTAATGGTTCAGTTAAGGGGGTAGATTGCATGGATCTGGCAGTTGCTGCCTATCTGACTGTCTGTTTCTGCAATCAGTCTGGGCTGGTACTGTTTTTATCTGCATTTGAGATTGATGTTGTTAGTCTCAAGGAGTTACCAGCAATTGGAATTGAAGAGTGTGCAGTTGATTAAATCTGCATCAAGACCTGTTTGCTATGGAAGAGAGTGATGTCTGCCGTAAAGAGCTAGGAGCTGAACTGTGAAGATTATAAGGTGCAAAAATGTAGTTAAAAATGGTTTTAATCATCTTGAAGGATTAAAGTCATTTTTTTTTAATTTTTTTTAAAACAAATTGTTTTTTGCTTCTTAAAATTACTTCTTTATCAATAAATTTTCCTTTTATTTAAAAAAAAATGTTCTTCCATGTTCCGGATCCCCAGTTGCATTATAAGATGGAGTATTATTTCAGTAGTGACAATTTAATTAAAGATACATTATTGCGGGAAAACATGAATGATCAAGGCTGGGTTCCAATTAAATTAATAGCAGGATTCAAGAAAGTGATGAATTTGATTTTTTAAGGTAGTAGCATGAAATCGTTGGGATATATATGTTTTGTTGAGGAATTATTTTTTTTTTTCGTGTTTTATGATTATCCATTGTGACTTGGTTGGTTGGTGTTTCTAAAAATAAAAAATAAAACATTTTTAAGCTGAAATGTGAAGTAGTTATCAAACATGTTTTTTGTTTTTTATTCTCATAATTTGATAGACAAAAATGGCATTCAAACATGTTTTCTGTTTCATTGGTTATTACAAAATAGAGACAAAAATTGTCTCTATTTTTGATTGTTTTGAATACACAAAAACGAAAACGTTACCAAATGACCTCTATATTTTCTACCCGTAGGGTAGGATGAACTATCCGACTAATGAGATTTGTACTTTTACATCATTCTCTTATGCCAATAAAAGAATGATTAGATGAATTGGAGTCGCATCTAATTTAATTTTTGTTAATTTATTTTTTAAATGTGTTGGACAGATTAGTCGATTTTAGTCCCAAACTACTAAGATTAAATCAATATCAAATAAAATTATACATACTTTATGTTGGATTAACGAATTATATTAAACATTATGATTTTTAACCTTAATTTTGAAAAGCTATACTTTATATAATCCTACTAGGAAGTTACCCCACCACCCACCACCCACCACCAATTCTCTTATATGATGATAATCTTTTAAGAAAAAAGTGGATAATTTTTGTCCTGACTTATAATCAAGCTGTTTCCCAATAGTTTCCTAGTTAACAGTAGAAATACACTGAACTTCATGGCTTCACCTAGTAAAATATCTAATCTTCCAATCCATGTGCTATACTATCTTGATTGATGGATGAGAAATTTCTGGGATATCCAGTATTTTTGAAGCCTGTGGACTAGTTTTGTAGTATGGCTGGAAAGTTTGAGTCAGCCAGTCAAAAATAGCTCACCTTATTTTTTGGCGGCCAAGAATAATCAACGTTGAAGTGAATTACACATTATACCCCTCTCTTAATTCGATTACTTAGAGACCCAATAAATCTAGCAAACCTAACTTAACAAAAAGGCAGGCCAAGCTGGTGCATTAATCCAACCCAGTCCAAGAATATTAGAGCACGTGAGAGAGAAATTATCGGAATACCCACTCTTGAAAATCAATACTATCATAATTATACTTACTTTTTGTAACTATCATCTACGAAAAATTAGTACCCTCACACTCACGTCACCGTCTCACCATGCCTATAAATTGTAAGCTCTTCATTGAGAAGGGCATCTCACAATACATTGAACTTTGTCTCTACACACACTTTCTCTCTCCTAACTATTGTTTCTCTCATAGAGCTAACTATTGCTCTCTCTCTTGTCCAGCTTGCTTGATCAATAAAAATCCATCGGCCACCGTTATCGTTTTTCAGAATGGAATAGGTCACTCCGACCGAATTATTATATATTTGTGTGTTGACTCAATATTTACATTACTGATATTGATTGTTTTATTTATTATCTATTAATTACATACTGTCACACACTCAACTGTTGATTTTGCACGAGACAATTTTATGCATCATCATAGTCCATTGTATAATTTTGAAAAAAGAGATTTTAAACGTTATTAATACGAGATCTCAAGTTTAAGTTTCATAACATAATCTATTTTATCTAGTAATCATAATATGTGAATAATTGTATGTATTCAGAATTTACGTTTAATAATAAGGAAAGAAAAATACATAGTTGGAATGAAGCATGTATTTTTTTTTTTTTTTTGCTTGGGAAAAAAAGAGTAGGGGTAAAGGAGAACACCTAGAAATTATTTTGATAAGCCTTCACTGGTGGAATTATGATGCCTCTGATCACATTTATTATTTTTCTTAGGTACGAGCTTAGTTAGGCTAGTATATCGGTTAACTACCGAGCTCTAATGTGAATTCTAAGATTCAAATCTTTAATCTTAGAGTAAGAAGTTCGATCGATATCCTATTGGGCCACCCCATTCGTTGGTCAATTACAATATATTTTTAGCATGAGCCCAAAAAGTATGTTATTTGAATAGTATGTATGATTTATACGTAATTAATGAATTACCTTGTATGACTTTGAACGTGCATTAAGTTTTTGTGCTTCATTTTATTTCTCTTGTACTTTTTTTTCTCCTAAATCTCAACTTATACTTGGCAAAAAAAATTTAGGTGCATTCAGGAATCTGTATTGTAGCCCAAGAAGCAAAGCCATTCATCTGGCATATGTTCCTAGCCTTCTACGGGGCATGAGATCACTATGTGAAAAATATACCCTATGTTTGGTTCGAAGAAAAGTTTGGTGGATGAGAAAATGAGAATGAAAAATATGATGGAAAGAAAGTGTTTCAATTGTTTGATTTTAAGAGAAAAGGTGATGGAAAGAAAAAGGTGAAGAAATGCTTATCTATCCTACACTCAATTCGTCTACTACTCAATTTTTCAATCCAATTGAAAATTGGCCACATGTGATGTCTAATAACTATTCGAAGAACATATACAAAAATTATTCTAAAGGGCATTATAGTAAAATTAGAAGATAAAATTTTTTTTGTTTCTTTTATTTTTACCAAACTAAATAATTTATTCGTTCATTTTTTCATTCATCTTACCAAACAAACCAAATGGAAAATAAGTTTACTTTCCCGGTGGATAGAAAGTTCATTGTTTCCATTTTTCTTTCCTTTTTTTATTTTTTCATCTTTCTTATCAAACAAAAAAGAATCTATTATACTTTCAAAATATAATTTTTAATGTCATCTTTCTGTTTTTTTAATTAGTAAAAATGTATCACATGTTGAATTTTCATATTTTATTTTTTAAAACAATTATAAATTATTTAGTTCAAAATTAATGATTAAAATTTGGGGTGTTCATGGTTTGGGTTGGCTCATAGGACCCGTTATCCACCTCAAAAAAAAATAGACTCAAAATTCGATAGGTCTGATAATTAGNAATGATTAAAATTTGGGGTGTTCATGGTTTGGGTTGGCTCATAGGACCCGTTATCCGCCTCGAAAAAAATAGACTCAAAATTCGATAGGTCTGATAATTGGCTCGTCTGAACTCGAACTTAATATTCTTCAAGAGAGAGTTTGAGTCTACCCTAAGCCTTAAACCTTGCCTATTAGGCCACCTACAAAACCCATTAAAATTTGGTCCAAGAATCTGTCCGTTTGAGTAGTCTAGTGAATTATTCATCATTCATTATTCATTATTTACTTAAATATTAAATAATACCTCTTAAATAAAATTATTTATTATTTATTTTTTTTCAATTTTAACTTTACTTTTAATTTAAAAATATAATTTATAAAAATACTATGCTATATATATATAAGCCCGCTCAGCAGGTCCACCCTACAGGCCCGCCTAGTGGTTAGTAGGTTGGGTTGTAAGTACGTTTACTCTTATCCAAAACCTGGTCTAGTCCAACCGGTAATTTATCAGAGTAAAAACTNTCATTATTTACTTAAATATTAAATAATACCTCTTAAATAAAATTATTTATTATTTACTTTTTTTCAATTTTGACTTTACTTTTAATTTAAAAATATAATTTATAAAAATACTATGCTATGTATATATAAGCCCGCTCAACAGGTCCACCCTACAGGCCCGCCTAGTGGTTAGTAGGTTGGGTTGTGAGTAAGTTTACTCTTATCCAAAACCTGGTCTAGTCCAACCGATAATTTATCAGAGTAAAAAGTAGAGTTTATCCTATCCAAAACCAGCCCAAAAAAAAGTTGACGGGCCTAATACAGCCCGGCCATAAACACCACTAATTAAAGTAAATGAAACTACGGTACTAACTTGATCGA